TCGATACCCACTACCTAACATCACCAAGCTTAGGGATCGATTATCTTGTGCGAAGATCTTCACGGCGCTAGATCTCTAAGATAGATACCACCTTATTAGAATAAAGAAAGGTAAAGAATAGAAAATAGTATTTAGAACTTAATATAGACATTACGAGTACATAGTTATGCTATTTAGGCTTACAAACGCCCTAGCAACATTCTAGAAACTTATCAACAATATACTTAGGCTATACCTAGACATATTTGTTATTGCCTACCTAGATAACATCTTTATCTATTTAGAAGATAAGAAGGATCACATTAAACATGTGACGAAAGTACTTAAGGCTCTAGACGAACACAGCCTTAGACTTAAGCTAAAGAAGTGTGAATTCTATAAGACTAAGGTCGACTTCTTAGGCTATATAATAGGAGTCAATAGAGTATAAATGAGCGAAGAGAAGATTCAAGTTATTAAAGACTAGCTAACACTAACCATAGTTACAGAAATCTAATTATTCTTAGGATTTGTAAACTTTAATAGGCAATTTATTTAGAACTTCTTAAAGATCGCGATACTAATAACACGACTTACGTAGAAAGATACGCCATTTATGTGGAGCAACAAAGCAGACAAAGCCTTTAACAAGCTTAAGACAGCATATGTTACACCACTATACCTTAGAATATTTACACCAGGCGTACTAATAAAGATTAAAACCAACGCATCAGATCTAGCCCTAGGAGGCTGTGCCAGCATACTTACTGACGACAAGTGGCACCTAGTAGCATACTACTTAAGGAAGTTCTTAGGACCAGAAGAACAATACAATGTACATGACAAGGAATTACTAGCTATTATAGCATGTCTGCAGCACTAGAGAGTATACGCAGAAAGCTGCTCAGAACTCACGATCTATACGGACTATAAGAACCTAGTACACTTCACAACAACAAAGGTACTTAACTAAAGATAGACTAGATAGGCCAAACTATTAGGACAATACAAGTTCAAAATCGTCTACACACTAGGGAAAGAAAACAGAAGAGCTAACGCTCTTAGCCAACAACACAATATCGCAGGAACTAAAACAATAGTTAATAAACCTATACTTAAGACTAACAAAGATAGATCCCTAGGACCTATATATAAACTTAATATTATTATAAAAATTAGGAACAATATACCTAAAGAAGTACAACAAACCATTATCAAAGAACATCACAACAATCCCGTACACGGACATCTAGGAATCGCTAGGACTATAGAACTAATTCAACGCAACTACTAATTCAAAGGAATAAAAGACAAAGTTACAGCATACATCGCCAAATGCGCAGAATGCTAAAAGAACAAGCATAGCACGCACGCACCATACGGAGAAATGCAAGCCCTAGAACTACCACAAGAACCATAGGCAGACATCTCTATGGACTTCGTTACAGGACTACTAGCATCAAAGGATCCAACGACTAAGGTTACCTATAACGCGATACTTGTTGTAGTGGATCGCTTTACAAAACAAGCAGAGTATATCCCATTTAGGAACGACTACACAGTAGTAGACTTAGCATACATTATCCACAACAGAATCATCTAACACCACGGAATACTAAAGTCAATTATTAGCGATAGAGACAAGCTATTCACATCCAACTTTTGGACGACACTACTTGCAGCAATTAGAACTAAGAGAAAGCTGTTAACAGCTTACCACCCACAAACTAACGGACAAACAGAACGAACAAACTAAACAATGAAGATATATCTTAGGATTTACGCCAATTATTAGCAAGACAATTAGGTACAACTACTACCTATAGCACAGATGGCATATAACAACAAAACATTAGAAGCAACAGGCAAAACACCGTTTTACGCTAACCACGGACGACATCCAAATCTCTTTACTAGAACATATCCAAGTTTGAAAACAGAAGTAGCCATCGCAACAGCCGAACAACTCAAGAAAATCCACGAAGAACTACAAGAATCACTCAAATAGGCTCAACGCCAAAGCATTTCCTACTAGAATAAGAAAAGAAAAATAGCACCTTAGCTAAAGAAGAGAGATAAAGTATACCTACTTACAAAAAACCTTTACATAAAACGACCTAGCAAGGGATTAGATAACGTCAAGGTCAGACTATTTTTAATTTCAAAACAAAATAGACTAGTCACATATACACTCGACCTGCTAGCTGACGCAAAGATATACCTAAGATTCTATATACGTCTATTAGAACTAGCAGACCCCAAAACGCTATTACAAAAAACATTTCATTTTAAACCTAAAGAAGAAGACAAATTCAAAGTTAAAAGAATTGTCTCACACTAAACAAAAAGAAACAAAACTAAATACCTAGTTAAATAGTTAGAATATCCCGATAGCGAGAACACATGGGAACTAGAATCTAACCTATCCAACTGCAAACAAAAACTCCAAAAATACCAACGACGACAGTAGGATTTGAACCAACTATAAAAAAGGAGAGAATAGGACCTCGACCGCTCGCCCTAGAGACTAGAGCAAACGGTCGAGATAACAAAACAACGAATGAAACACAATAAATACTGAAGAAAATCATACTACGCACCTCAACTACCAGAGACGGGCGCATCACCACCTAAACTAGAAATAACTAAGCTCGACTCAAGAGGCTCCTAGTAATCTAGAGGCAAATCCGCGAAGGCACCCTAAGTACTAGGAGACAAGTTAATTAACGGATCAGACTCGTCGAACTCTAACACGCCTTCCCGCTCTAACTCTTCTAGCTCTCGACTTTCCACAGCAATCGCCTCCTTAGCACGCCTCTCTAACAAATCTATTTATAGCCGCAACCTCTGCTCCTAAGCACGATAAGTGCGCAACTCTTCTAGAGCCTTCTTATAAAGCCTTATAGCCGCATCTTGCGCATCGCGACTCTCTTTAATACAACCCTCTAACTTCTCCTTCTTAGCAGCTAGACGCTTAAACTTAGACTTAGTAACACGGACATTACACCGTTGTCTACAACAGAGACATTCGCTACATTTTCTAGAACAAATATGCACCTTGCACACTTAGTTATTCTTTACATAAAACGAACACTTTTACACTATAATTTCCCTAAAGGATTCAATAAAATTAGCAAGATTCTAACGACAAACAGTACTTAACAAAGATAGTTGTTTAGGCATGACGAAAACAAGGCAAGACGCTAACGCTTATAACAAAGGGACCGCTTAGCTATAGCGTGCCACGCGACCCCACATGACCAACAACACCAAGACGCCACCACACACCCTAGGACCTAGGTTCGAGGACGAACCCATAGGGAGGGAGGATGGTGTTACAATCCGTGACCAGTAATAGATGAAACTGCTCACTAAGTAATCAGTTTCGAGGATCCAAAGGATGCACTACGCCGCAATCCTTCGCAGCCGTGCCGCAGTCACGTGACCTACTCAGTGATCAGTATGTCTTGGCACTACTGAGCAACTGAGCACTCTGCATGCAACCTGCAAGTTGCTCAGTGATTAGTACCTCTTAGTAGTACTAAGCAACTGAGCATATTGCATGAAGCTTTAGTATATAACACTAGGCATTAAGCCCTTATAGCTCAATGTGTTCAACTTAAGTTTTAAGTACAAGTACAATACAGAGAGTTATTCTACTTGCACGTTACCGTCCTCGTTTGCACCCTGTCACTCTATCTGCGAAAACCAACCAACAAGAAGATCAACACCAGAAGTCTGATATTACTTCCACTTGATCTATACTCTTAACACCTATAAAGGCGATCTATTACTACCTATCCTCTTTTAAATAAAAGAGGGTATAGAAGCAACTATTACCTTTATTTAAGAAACAAAGGCTAGAACACAAGCCTGGTACAAGGGAAACACAGAAAACGAGGAGTAATACCTATAACAGGTAGCTATACACCTCCCCCACCCTATCCCACCCCCTACCTACCAACTAATAGGCTATGAGCCTCACCTTCATCTAGTTAAAACCTCTCCTAAATATCGTAGCTAGAAACAACCTACTTAGATACTTGTAGGCCTAAAAACCCTACACGTCTTATATAGCCCTTTAGGCTGAAAAAGGACGTTAAACTAGAATAATAATAATAATAATCCAGACCCGCCCCCGATTCTCTCAACAATCTTTTTTTTCTAACAAACTTTCATAATTCAACCTTGTAGCTTGATGAATTGCTTCTTGGAACCTAGTCTTTCAAAGCTCGCCAATAATCTCCACATGCGCTTTGCGGCTGTGTTGGATGGCTGAGTTATCCGCAGTCTAAATGGCCGCCCCTTCGTGTTCGTCGGATGGACCGGGAAGTGCAAGCGCTGGCAATACCGGTCACTGGCAACACTGCAACGAGAGAAGATCTGGGCCAAAAGTAGGATGTTGACCGTATCAGCAAGGTCAATTATACATACGTACAAAGTTATCCCCTAGTTGCCTGCCAGATCCGAGTCCCTTGGATGTTTGCAGATGAGTCGGGCCAGCTCGTATCCCATACGAACACGAGATGTTCCGCGTATTTTCGTATATTCAACGGTTCTAAATAAAGAATCCAAAGAGACTGCTATTCGCCACGATCAATATTTAACAATGTCCTTTTTTGCTCAGAGCATTGACTTGCTAGAAGGTGAGGTACAGTCATGGGGGCATTGCGAACAGACACCAGCCGAGAAACACGACACTAAATTCGCTCCTTGAAAGACGCAGCGTTCTGGTGTTACCATGCTGGGATTTACTGCTCTAGTAATGCGAAGGCAAAATGCAGGTATGGAGTGCTGGACCTTCTCCAGCTTCTCGACAATGCGCTTGGACTGAACGAACGAATGGTTCAACACCCCGCATTCTCCCCCACCATGCATCGCGGAACGAAAGCAGCGACGCACAACTGCCGAACGTCGCTTTCATCATTCCAAGACCGCATGACTTGAGCACTGTAAGTAAATATCGCACTGAGAAACCCTCGACAGCGACATCTTCTTCCCTCCAGAGCAAAATCGCTAACATGGCGCTAGACACTGTCCTCCATCTGCAGCTTTCTCTATGGCTTTCGCTTGTAATCGCCGCACCTGTTCTAACACTGATTCATGACGTATGGCTATGGCTACGAATGCCCCCAGGCCCGACGCCTCTCCCATTCCTCGGCAACAAACTGCAACTCCCCAAGTCGCGGCCATGGCTTCAGTTCCAGGAATGGGCAAAAACATATGGCCCCATCTTCACCATTTGGATCGGCCGTAGACCCACCATTGTCATATCGGACCCCAACATCGCCGTCGACCTGATGGAGAAACGGAGCGCAAAGTATTCGTCTCGGCCCCGCATGGTGGCCATGGGCGAGATACTCTGGGATAACGCAAGTATACTGGTGCAGCCCTATGGCAAGGCATGGAGTGTGCGAAGGAAGCTGCTCCATCAGGCCATGACGCCCAAGGCGCTGCGATTGTACAAGCCAGTGCAAACAGCCGAGGCATCACGTTTGTGCGCTCAATTGCTCGAGGATCCGGCTAACTGGGAAAAGCTGCTTGAGCGCTACACTTCAAGTATTGTCTTCTGCGTCGCGTATGGTCACCGCATTGACTCGCTCAATGCCCAAGTTATCCGCCAGCGCTTCAAGTTTATGCATGTCGCTGCGTCGCTCAATGTGCCCGGCAAATACATGGTCGAGTCCTTTCCCATGTTCAAGTACATTCCTGATGCGCTGGCTCCATGGAAAGCCGATATCAAGGCGCGTGGACGCGAAGAAGCGGCCGCTAATATGGCCTTGGTTGGGACGGTCCGCTCCGATGTTGCGCGGGCCAAAAGCCAAGGCGAGGATATCCCAGACTCGCTGTGCAAGCTTCTCTTGGAGCTGAGAGAGCAAGAACATATACCCCTGTCTGATCGCGATTTCTCGTATATCCCTGCGTCGCTGTTTGGCGCTGGATCCGACACGACCGCCTCGACGCTCTGCACTGGTTTCCTGGCGCTAGTCACACACCCGGAAACCCTCCATGCCGCCCACGCCGAGCTGGATGCTGTCATTGGACCCCATCGCAGCCCGACATTTGAAGACGAAGCCAGTTTGCCGTACATGCGTGCCCTCGTCAAGGAAGTCCTGCGTTGGCGTCCTGTTGCAGTCCTTGGCGGGACACCGCACGCCTCGACCGAAGACGATCGCTACGAAGGCTACTACATACCTTCTGGTACGACCGTGTTGGGAAACTCATGGGCCATCAACCTGAATGAAGAGTACTATCCAGATCCGCACCGCTTCGACCCCACGCGTTTCCTCGATGCCGCGCTGGCTCAACGCGCAAAAGCCCCAACGCTACTAACAGGCAAACCACATCCCGCGAAAGCAGGCCACTCATCATTTGGCTGGGGCCGACGAATCTGCCCGGGCGCGAGCCTCGCAGAAAACAGCCTCTACGTTGCTCTGGCAAAGACGCTCTGGGCCTTTGACATCCAGCCCAAGCACGGGGTGCAGTACGACACATTCGCCTACACCGAAGGCTTCAACATCCGACCGCAGAAGTTTGAATGCGAGATTAAGCTCAGAAGTGAGGCTCACGGGGAGGTGCTGATGAGAGACCTGAAGCAAGCAGAGGGCGTGCTTGACAAGTTTACGCCGTTTCAAGAGTAAAATGAGTGTGAGAAATCATGGCACCGTTGCTGTCGAGAGAGGGGAAATTTGCGGATGAATTAACATGCATGCTATCTCTGTATCATTCGTAACCTTCGTATGTACTACTTGAGCTATATCCTGTATGTATGTGTATGTGTGTATGTAATGCGGACGACGCCAAATGCCGCGGCAGCAAGACGCACTGCGCTCGTTCACTGACTCAAGGAGCGTAAGTATGCGTAATAACAAGCGAAGTATCAAACAAATAGCCCACCGTGACCCGATTGGGTGGAGGCAAATCCCATGTTACATACCAAAACGCCATCGCCATGCTTTTCGTCCGAACCCATGAATAACAAGGGAAAAAAAGAAAAAAAAGAGAGAACTAGGGTGTATCAAGATCAAAAGCCAAAAGCCACGGCAACGGCTACGGCCAACACAACGGCGACTACGTTGCCACTTTCCCTCACACCCGCACCCGTACTCTGCACCAGGGGCTTGGTGCTCAGACTTTTGCGCCCTGTAATGGAGCCAGACACGCCATTTGCCTGATCGACGCTCGCAATGGCCGGGCCGACGTTGAAGAAATCGACAAGCACGAAATTGGAGGCTTTCGCATACACGGCCTCGCACGCTGCCATTGCGGTGCCCAAGCTGCCGAGGCCCGTCTGGGCATTGGTGACATTGGCATACGTCTCATTGGGCGACTGGATGCCGAAAATCTGGTTCTGGTACAAGAAGTGGTTTTGCAGGAACATGCGGCCAGACTGGGCGGCGGCGCTGGGCGTGGCGAGCGATGTGGGGCGGTTAGGGTTGCATGAGTAGTTGGAGGGGCTTGCGTTGTTAAAGTCGTTTTCGAAGATGAAGTTGAATTCGTCCATGAGGTAGGGGGCTTGCGCCGAGGCGCCGCCAGAGAGCGAGGCCACGAATGTCATGAGGCGCGTGTTGTTTCCGATGAGGGCGTCGAGCGTGGGCCAGGTCTTCGGGATGGTGGTGCTCGAGGGAGGAGTGTAGGCGAGTTTATCGAGGCCCGAGGCGCTGAAGATGGAGCCTAGATCTGACGTGGGGGCGTTGTCGGAGTTGACGAGCAGCACTGTCACAACATCGTGCGTGTTTGCATCCATCCACGTTTTGATTTCGCCCAGCCAGCTTTGCAGACTGCCAGCATCAAGAAGATCGCAGCTGCTGTGGCAAAGATGCCATTGCTGGGTGCCAGTGCCGTTGGCTTTGTGCACTTGGGCAGTGAGTAACCGTACGCCGGCGTCGAGTTGCACGGTTGTGTTGTAATATTGGTTTCCCGATGTTGAGAATGATGTTTGCTCGTTTCGGAGAAAAGGCGAGTCGTGTGCGCCGAGGTAGGTGATGTTGTTGTATGGGCGGCTGCAGAGAGCGGGCGAGTTGTTGCAGGCGTTTTGGGCGGATACGCTGGTGGAGAAGAAGGGCAGTAGGAGGGCCGAGGCCTGTAGTATTGTGCTTCTTGAAAACATGGTGATGTGTGTGTGTGTGTGTGACTGCGCTCCAATTCTTTTTCCCGGTGTAGTCTAGCAGGCTGTCGTATTCGTCGTCAAACCGAATTCGTAAGTCGTTAGATGGTCAATGTGTCCAAGTATCAACTAGTCTCCCGCAGAATGTAGTTGACCAAAAGCAAAAAACCTGTAAATCCTTTATAGTACGAACAAAAGACAAAAAAGAGAGCTAGGGTGGTGAACGGCTAGTATTATATCAACGCGCAGTTCGTCTCAGCCCAGCCAACGCCCCAGCCCGGAACGCACGAATATAATTATGGAAGCAGGCTGGGCCGAAAAAGAGAAGGCGGCGGCCCCAGTCCCGTCCAAGCCTCCCTCTGGAGGAATTGTCAGGTGTTAATCCATGCGTAAGTGGAGTTTCCAGCCTGCTGCTACTGCACAGCCCACAGAGGCCGCGCGCATGCGACGCAGTTTCAGGCGGCGTCGTCAGCTGCCCCGGCCGTTCGCCTGCCACACGCTCAAACGCCACCGAAACATGGGTTGCGGCATGTTGGCAGGCCGGGAAGACAGGTTGGCGGCACTGGCAAAGCGGGTCTTTTTCTTGGACTGTTGGATAATAGCAATAGAGGAGAATAATTGCCCCAGTGTGGGGGGGAGAGGGAACACGACGGGCTGGCGGCAAAAGCAAAGGCCCCCGGGCGTTACGTGGCGGGGGGGAAAGATCAGGCGGTGATGTCAAAAACTAGTGCCAGGGCTAGCTGTTCGTAGCAGCGGTACTAGAAGGGCATGACTAAGCAGCGCCTCACCTCAGCTATTGTTGGAGTGGCGCATGCAGTGGCTTGGCGAGGTCGGCACCGTCGATCTTCCGTCCTGTCACCCTGTCGCCCACGATGCTGCATGTGCATGCACACTGGCACGGGCAACGCCGCAACCTTAATCGCCATCGACAGTACTGGCACTGGTACACGTATCTGCTACTACTAGTAGTGCCGTGTATGCGACACTCACAACAGGCTTGGTGCGCGTCTTTGTCCACGTCGACCCTCGCGCGTCTTCTTCTCCTCCTCCAGCCACTCGCATCCAGCAACACAACACACCCCTTGTTCCCGCCAGCCTCTCTCTGCGAGGCGATCGCCCGTATACTTCAGCCCCCCATACCCACAATTCGTGTGCAGAATCCACGCGTCCTTCATATCCACCACACATCCACACCCACACCACGCCAGCCAGCCAGCCAGGCCATAACGTCACCTCCCCAGCCAACCCCAGCCCGTTTGATCTATACATCCTACGTACACCTACTCACACACTCACTCTCCCTCACCATGGTGACGCTGCGCGCGCCCTCGTCGCTCCCCACAACCGGTCCCTCGGCTTCCGAAGTCGCCGCGCCCCAGTTATCATGGCTGTCGGGCCCCTGGAACGTGACGCATTCGACGCTCCCCATGTGGCGGAAATCCCGCAACGTCCGTATTACATATACGCCCGTTGCATCCACCACCCCGGCCCAGCTCGACGACTTGGTCACTTATCAGAGTCTGACTTCCGACAAGCTCAAGACGGTCCATGGTCTCGACAAGCCCTTTGACGTGTCCAATGCCGAGCTCCCGCCAGCCACCTCAGAGGATCCATCAGCGCAGCTCGCCAGTCTGGGATACAACTGGCGCGGCAAAGGCTGGCTCGTCATTGCCACGAGCAAGTGGGAGATTCTTGGATATGGCGACGAAGCGGCGTCTGGCAACAGCTGGATCGTCACCTACTTTGCAAAGACGCTCTTTACTCCCGCAGGCATAGACTTTTACTCGCGCAACGGTAGCCTGGCCCCCGACACCATTGCCGACATCAAGGCTGCACTCGCTGCACTAGGCGGTGACGTGGCCAAGCTGGCAGACCAAATATTCGACGTCAAAATGGATCAGGACAGGAAAGATTGAGCGGAAAGAGAAAGACATCATCATGCAATATCTTGGCAGATTCAACTAGATACCCCCCGCATGGAGCCTCTGTTGGGGTTTCATGCCACTGGTTTATCCGCCCTCTGCATTGCTACACGCGTTGCCAGTAAAGCCGAAACGTCAATATTCAGCCAGGGCATCCATCCCTCACCTTACAACCATCATGCTGCCATTGGCAAAGACACCTTAAACCAAACACTCCCTTGCCACCATTCCCGCCCTAATCCAGAAGATTAGTAAAGGCCGTTCCCTTAGCACATGATGCCGCCGTCTTCGCATACGAATTTCCCTTTTGCTCGGAACCCGCTGCCATCTGCGGCTCCAAATCGAGGTCAACGAGCAAGCCAGTGTTCTTGGACACGACTGCACTCGTCTGCGGGGAAATCGAGATAAGCCGGTCGCCCATGGGCGAATGCCCGGCTTTTGGAGTAGATGCTCGAACACGTTCCAGGTACTGTGCCTCTTGTCCCCTCATCTCCGCCAGCACTCTCGCATCGTCTTCTTGGACTCCACCACCCTTCGTGTAAATATTCCACTGCTCCATGCTGCTACCCGATGGCTGAGCTGTCCTTGTGCGTGAGCCTAGCTTGGCTGTTGCACCGTTAGATTGGCCAGAGCTGTGAAACATGTTTTGGCGGCTCATATCATGCACATTGGCGTGCGATCTGCCGAGCGAGCTAGCTCCACTCTGTGCTGGTTTCAACGTCGACTTGACGCCACCGCTACGGCGCTCGCACATTTGGCATTTACACGGGTCACAGCATTCCGCTGCAAAAGATTAGCAGACACTCGCCCTGTAGCAGATAAAGTGGCACGTACCGACACAAGGATGCCCACATGTCTCTACACGCCTGCTGCACTTTTGAGTACAGTTGATCCTACCGTGCTCGAACCTGCCTCAATGTTAGCCTTGAACATGTCCCATATTGCGACAAGGCTACTCACGGGTGGCACATGTATGGACATCGATGCCCGCAAGGCAATACTCCGTCGCACTTGCTATCGCAACCACCCATAATGATCTCAAAGTCGCTAGGGACCTCGCACCACATCTTGCGCCCATGGTTGCTGCATTGGAGCGGGAAGTGGTAGCCCACCCTTCGCTCCTGGCCAGTGGTCACCTTTTCCTTTTTGTTCTTAACCATGATTTCCACCACGCTGGCCCATACCCTGCTCTCACACGCCAAAAGCTCCGCGTTGCCGAATATATAGAAGCCACGTTTTGCTCGCGATAGCGCCACACATGCGCGGTTCTCCGAACTCAGAAAGCCAATCGAGTGTTTCTTGTTCGAGCGCACCAGCGACAGCAGCACAATGTCATTTTCTTCGCCCTGGTAGCTGTCAACAGTCACAACCTGGATGTCGCTGCGGTAAACCCGCAAGTTTGTGTGCGCGTTCAAAAGTCGCAACATCTCCTTTCTTTGCCCGTTGTAGAAGGTCAAAATGGTGATTTTGGTCGCATCAACGCCGTTTAGGACCAAGTAGTCGAAGAATTGCACAACCATCTCGGCTTCCATTTTGTTGACGGCAGACATGTTGTGATCGCGAGACTCTTCCCATTCGTGGCAAAAGAAGAAGCTGTTGTTCCCGCCCATGCCTTCAACTGGCGGCCGGTTCTTGGGATTTATTACGCTCTTGTGGTCCTTCAGTGTGTTTTGGTAGATTGGATATAGGAGACGCCGTATCTCTGGTATCATACGGCGTTGACGTGTCAACGTGTCGAACGCAACGCCATTTCTGACGAGCCGCTCAAAAAGCGACAAGTTCAGGAAGTAGGGCTCGTCTTCAAAAGCCTTTACCTGAGTGTGAGGACGCAGTTGCTGGTGATCACCGACGAGGACAAGATGCTCAAGACTGGGAAAGCAGGCTGCTGTTACGGGTGCTTCAAGTGTCTCGGCTGCCTCTTCTACAATGCACATGCGCGGACGCAGAGCGCATAGAAGAGGGCGGTACTTTGCCAGGCCTGTAGTTGTGCATCCAATGATGCGTGCCTTGCGCAGAACACGGACATCTTCTTCCCACATGCCAATCTTGCGCTGCAAAACCACCTCTTGGTAAACCTTGGCAACCTTGCGCATTTCGGTCGTGATTATTTTCTTCACTTGCCGCTTGAAATAGTTGTAGATGGCACCGCGATGAACTACGGGGATAGTGTATAGATCCTCGGTTCTGCGCAACATTTCTTCAATCTTGGCACTGCTCAAAGGAGCTCCGGTGCCCTTGTGGTTGTCGCTGAGCAGCGTGACAGCTCCTTGAAGAGCCTCAATATCATCGTCATCCTGGGCTACGGCTTCTGCTTCTAGCTCCTTCAGTTGCTCAATTTCGAAATCCTCTTCTTCATAGCCCCAGTCAAACTGCTCCGCGTCAATTGGTCGATCGCATGGTGCAAGGCACTTTCCAAGCCAGAATTCTATTCTGATTCCCGGGCTATCCGATGGCGAGATTCCAATAGTGTTTTCTGATGCCATCTCGAGCGATTCTGCCTGCTCTTTTGAGATCAATCCAAACTTCAATAGAAGTTTGTGATCTAGTGGACCTTTGTTTGCTTCGATAGGGGCAAGCAGTTTCTGAAACTCAACTGTCAACGCCCGCATCTTGTTGTTGGCTTGAGCTTTGAGACTCCCAGGCTGCTTTGGCTGTGGTGCTGCTGATCGAACTTCAAACAGCGTCCGCTTCTTGATGTCTTTGTCCTTGCTCCTTCCTCCTAGACGTATGTAGTTTGGTTCAAATCCCGACGTGTGTCGCAGAAGCTGGTCAAGCGCGTGGTTTGTCTGCGCAGTGACGATGATGGGGGGGTCGTCCTTGCGCAGATTGTCACGAGCAATTTGCAGAGCAACCACAGACACAAACGTCTTTCCCGTTCCAGGAGGTCCTTGCACAATAGCCAGCTCACTTGTGAGAATACGCTGGAGCGCTTTGCTCTGCGAACTGTCAAGTGAATGCGACGATGTGTTTGGCCAGTCGTCGAGCACATTGACGTTTTCGTAGTTGGCACATTCTTCCATACTGACAAGAGAGCTGAGGTTGAGGTAGGGGTTTTGCTTGATGTAAGCTGGCGGTTCGACTTCCTTCTGAACATGTACTAGGTACTTGGACAAGGGAAACGGCTCTCTCATCAGATGCTGCAGGGCCAGCAGTGTGTGTCTGCTGGCTTCGAAGAAACTGCCTCGACACTCGACCATGATCCATTTACGCATAGGGTCGATTTCTTGGTCTTCGGCACGGGCAAAGAACAGGTCAATCTCGGGTGGATTTTGCTCCAGTGCAGAAATAGGGCGTGCTGCGATGACGGCGAGCACACACTGAGTCTTGAATCCATCGTCCGTAGGAGATAGAGCCACGAGTGATCCGGTGATAAGTCGCTTTGATTGCGCCCATCTAGCGTCTGTGAGCAATGGGTACGCTTGCACTGTACAGCATCTTACCTAATATGCTTCTTGACCCTGCCAAGTGAGAATGCAACTCGCGTAGCGAGGCCTCGGGGAGAGAACACAATCGATTTGATGTGAACCGGTTCGTAGACACCAATGCTTTGGTCCTCGTACTCTGCCTCGTCTCGGTAAGGATCTTTGCGGACTTTATGCAGAACATTCCGGAGTGGACCTAATGTGTCCTCGCGTATAAGCTCGTAGGTTGTCCCCAGGTAGTCTTCGCTATTATCATATGCGCCCTCTGCTTTGTTTGGGCGGAGGTCGTTGTTGACATCAACGAGCTGTTGGCCAGACTTCTCAGGTAACAGTTCCGAGGGGCTTGGAATCTCGGGTTGCTGAAGCCATGCCCCACCAGCGACTCGCTTGCGAGAGAGCTGATAATACTCGCTGATGCTGTTTTGGTGGAGTGAACCAGAGGCGGGGGTGCTGTTGGCTGGCAAACTGTCTGTGGGAGGAAGAAGGGCACGAAGTCGCTCGGTGAGATGCGAGTTCATGTCGGTCTCTATCGCCCAATTAGCAAGTCTTTTCCTGTGAAGTATGCCGGGACAAGAGAATAGAGGGCAGTGTTAGGTTGCATTGTAAGGGAAGGCACTTGCCATTTTCGGATGTTTCCTGCAAGTTTGCATAGGCATTGTGAACGTCTATCTGGGCGCCTCTGTTGCGTCTCCGACCGGTACGCGCCATGTTTGGCTAGCTGTCCTGGCTACGCAGACGGCATAGGGCATGAGTTATGTGACAGGCGGGGGCAAAGCTGTTGAGGGTGTCGATGTTTGTGTTGCTAGGTGGCGCGTGCAGGCTGCAGAAAGTTACGGAAAGTCGCAGAGGTGAAGCAGATTGCGGCAGCTTGCACTCACCCAGTCTGCAAGTTGGGAAGGCGCAGTGGCCCTGCAGCAAACGGATCACGTGACATTGGACGAAGCGGGTGCACGAGATGGGCGACTCTGAGATGTATTGCGTCTGGCATCTTAGGACGGTAGAAGCATGGTAGAGTTGAAGAGTAAGCAAAGCAGACGGGTCCAGAAGTAAGACTGTCGAAAAAGTATGGGGGTGGTGGGTGAGGACGAGGTGTGGTGGGAAGCATGAGCAGTTTGTGCATATTTTCACTGCGAGGGAACATCGATGCCGACCTGTTCCCTGCACGTTAGTAGAACACGCTATGGGCACATATAGTACATTGCTGCATGTTAGGCCATTGTATGCTTAGACATAGGGCACTCAGACAAGTAGCAGAAGCAAGCAGAAGCAAGCACGAAGGATAGATGCAGTCATGCCAACGTAGTGTGCGAGAAGACGTCGATAACCGTCGACGCAGGTTCGTGCACCTGCATTGCAATGCAAATGTTTCATGTGCAGGGCGGCGTGGGAGAGGTTTCTTGCGTGGTGGTAGCGCGGCAAAAGCATGGGGTTTTTGGTGGTGAGATGCATGTAAAAGATTCCCCATGCAGCGCTAGGGCGGGGTTTGCGCGGTTCGCTTAGCCATGGCGCATGGCTACGTCATGCGAGCGCCCTGATTGTGGACGGAACTGCACGCGCAAACAACGGTGCGTTGAGGCCGTGGGTGTGGGAGCTGCGAGTGCCTGCATCGCGTTTCCTGGCATGAGATGCTGCCATGGCGCAGCGGCGGTTACGACGGCTCCGGTGTGGACACGTCTGTGGCTAAGCGTGGGCGTGTTGCGGGCAGCGGGCAGCGGGCAGCGGCTGCGGGAGGCTCCAGAAAGTTCCTGTCGGTGCCATGCGAACCCAAACCCTGGGTGGCTCTGCTGGCACATGGCGTAGGGCAGACATCGGGTACTGCTAGCACTGGCACTGGCACTAGACAGATGCGGCTTCTTTGGGTGCGGGCACATGGCGCAGCCGTCGTCTCCACGGCCACAGGGCTGCCAGATCAGAGTCCGAGGCAATATGTAATCTGTCCAACAACGTCATGCTGCATGCAACGCAGGGCTAGGCACCGCGTCCCTCGGCGCATTCCCTGCCGCCATGGGTATTATACGTGTAGCGAGTATACAGCAGTGGCAGCATAGAGAGAGGTGGTTCGATATCTGATATGGCCTTCATCCCGGCCCCGACACCAAGCATGCTCTGGGCGCACGACCACGACCACGACCGCGACGAGCGACAGGCGGGTCGAAGCGGATGTGCCGTCGCTCGCTCGCGGTTGGGCACAAACATGTTGCGGAGATTGACAGCCAGGCCAGCGTCGAGGCCTGGGTCCTTGTCGATCGGGCCGCCTCTGTTGGGCCCGGATGGCGGTCGAATGGCGTTCCTGGGGGGGAGGACGACGACGAGGGGAGGGGGGTGTCGTTCTCTACCAGGCAGCGCGCCCAGACGTGCCTGAATGCCCATCCCGACCCGGCGCCCAGGGCATGGGTGTTTTTTCTCGACGTGTGCGTGTGAGAGAGAAATTGTGAGTGTGCGTGCCGAGCTTATCGGCGTGCCATGGCGACAGACGACGACTCGGGCGTGATGCATGACAGCTGACAGGCGCGTCTCAGACAACGGGCGAGGGGGCGGGTGAGGGTGTCGACACCGGCGCAGGCGCTGCGAGGGCGGTGCTCAGGGCAGTTCCGGTGACAGGGCGTCGACTGCTGCGAACTGGGCGACTGGTGCGGCCATTGGGCAGGCGGGCAGGAGCCATCCTGGTGATCAGAGTGGTGTGGTTTAGCGCAGCGCGACGGTTACGTCATGGCCGACCTCAGCGGGCGCCCGACCTTGGTCTTGTTACCAACCCCCACCACCTGCATGCCCACTACACAGGCACTGCAACTGGGCCAGCCGCCGTCGATAACGTCAGGCCACGGCGCTGCCTATTCTTCATTACCTGCCTTACCCCCTTCTTCTCTTCCCACCCGCCTGTGCCCCCTTCTTCCAGCCCGTCCGCAGTCAGTCAGTCAGGCAGTCATTCATCATCCATCCTCCTCCTCAGCCTGGTGAGAGCGAGCGCCACATAACCCCACCACCGCCGCCTTCACCACCATCACCTCTCCCTCCCTCTCCCCCCTCCTGATCTGCTCCCCCCGCGCAGCCGCCCGCCTGCTGCTGCCCGCGCCATGTCGCGCCGCTACCCCACCGCAGAGCTCTATGAAGAGCGTGAGCGCGATTTCTATCGCAACGGTAACCGCAGCGACCGCAACTATGAGGAGCTCGACCTCGAGCTGCGCCGTAGCGGCACTGCCCCCCCTGACCCCCGCCGCAGCATGCCCGACTTTCTTCGCGAGGACTACAACCGCCCAACCGCCGGCCCGCTGGTGATGCGAAGCCGTGACGACGACGTCTTCTCGCGCTCTGCAGCCCGCAGCAGTCGCGGGTTTGACGATGACGTGCGTTCCACCCGCAGCCGCCCTCCGCCGCCCTCTTCGGTGCGAGAGGTGGAGCGCGACGACATCACAATCCGGCGCCGTGAGCAGTCGCGAGGTCCGCCCGAGCGCGATGACATCGTCTTCCGCCGTGGTGATGGGCCCCCGGTCCGATCCGTCAGCCGACCTGCCCCGCGTCAGGTGGATGACGATGACGTGCGTTTTCGAGGCCGCACTGGCGGCGACATCGACTTCCATGCTGCCCGCAGCGAAGTGAGCCGCCACGGCCGCGACGTCTCTGCTGAACGAGGCTCTATCCGCTTCCAGGAGCACGACGGCAACTTTGAGTTCCGTGCAAACCGCCGGGAATTTAGCCGTGACGGCAGAGACACGAGCAGAGAGCGAAGTTCGTTGACGATTCGCGGCCGCGAGAGGAGCCTGCCACCCCCCGTGCGCACGCGTGGTGAGCTGGTTGCCAGGGAGCGCGAGGAGTTTGTCATCCGCCGCCCGCGCGCCGAGTCCCCACCACAGAACAACCGGGAAATCGTTAGAGACGAAATCATCATCAGACGCAAAGAGGAGCGCGCTCCTACGCCCTCGCCTTCGCCCTCTCCGCCTCCCCCACCGCCGCCGCCAGCTCCAGAGCCAGAAATCCGGCCTCCTATCATCCAGGAGATCATCACTCACCACAGGCACATCGACCATGGTGAGTTAGCGCACCAAGGCAATCGATGGATGCTTCGTACTGACAGTGTTGCAGGTGTCGTCAGGGCGCGCACTCCTACCCCGCCTCCTCCACCCGCCCCGCCATCGCCTCCACCGGTGAACGAAACCCTCGAGATTGAGATCAACCGCAGAGAGTATGTATGCAGTCCAGATGCGACAGGCGCGTGCTAACACGGTTGCAGGAGCCACAGCCATGGACGTGGAAGGACCAACTACGAGGAGCTCAACATCGACATCGACCTCAAGGAGGTACGTCATGACAAGCGTCATTAGTGGCGGAGATAACGAACATGACGCTAACGGTGACCACTAGGGAGTTGTCAAGCAACGCAAGAAGGACATGTGGACCGAAATCACCAAGGACTTGGTCATCCGAGAAGCCATCGACTCGATGGGGTACGCATGCGAAGAGACGGACGACTTCTTCTACGTGATGGAGTACCTTCGATATGTAAGTTGGGAGCCCCGCGCGGGTCACGTGCACGACGCTAACTCGATGCAGGAGGACGTATTGCACCTGGTTGAGCTTTCGGATGAGATCCGTCGCAAGCGCAAAAGCCGAATCCGGGAGATTGAGATTGAGCGGAAGTCGATCCACAGCTCTCGGCCCAGCTACGACGAGCGGTACTACGAGCATGATGTACACTTTGACAGCCGTCGCAGCCGATACCACTAGGGTCGGCGCTTGGGGCGGTGATTTGCACATGATTCTTTTTCAGGCCGGATGTGCGGGTTGAAGACCTGGGAGCCCATCGGACAGTGTTGGGCCAGTGCTGGGTCGGCGGCAGGCAGTGGGCTTGTCTCGGCGAGCGGACTGCTCAAGTCGGCCAGGGCGGTGCTGCAATGTCTCTGGATGACCGGCACAGGATGCACAAGTGCGGGCACGCCTGGCGGAAGCGGTCTCATTGTGACGCGGCATGACTTACAAGATTTTTTACAGTCTGCATGCAAAAGACAGGCTGCATGGACTTACGACTATGACGATTATGACCAGCATACCCGGAGCAGGAGTGGACGAGAGGTTCGTGTTTTCTTTGTGACGATGCAGTTTCCCATTGTTGGCGTGGTGGACAAATAGGGCCTATGGACATTGATTGACGAATCGGATGCGGCGGTACATAATTCTATTTCTGCTTTGGATGGAATGGACGACTTGTCGGCGTTACCGTGCTGTGCTGTGCTGTGCTGTGCGTGAGGCTATCAATAGACCAGTGTGCTCGGAGCGACTACTTCGTATTGTATGTATGCGGGGGCCGTCTTTGTGCCGGCCTTGTGTACATGTAGTTGCTTTTGGCCCACGGGCAGGGCAGTGCATACACGATCAGACCACGAGTTCGCCGAGGTATTACTGCGGCCTTGTTTTTTTTCCTGCTTCCACCTCCCCTTCTGTCACCACGCGCCTCGTGCCATATCGACTCATGACGCGTCGCCACATGGGCGCCGCCACCGCAGCCACACAGCATCGCAGCAAAAGCGCGCAAGACAAGACAACAAGGCGACTAAAAATACGGCTCCACTGTCTCTCTCGCGCGCGCAGCCACACATGGCCGGCCTCCGCCTTGCCCCACTGCGTATGTATCCAAGTACAGAGTGAGGGTGGCTCTTTGAATGACTTGGGTACAAGCAGGCGCTTGGCTCTGCGTCCATACAGCAGCACCGCATGCGCACCGCAGCCACACCTGAAACCCCTGGCCAAGTCAAGGGTTAAGCGCCCGCCTTGCCCAACCCCACCACCCATCCACATGTCCCCGTCCATTCATCTACCCTCAACCACTCGACCCAGCCTGCAAACGCCCTCGTTTGACGGCCTGCAGGCATGCCAAACCACACTGGGCTCCCACCGTCATGCACCCCGACGGGACATGGCGCGCCCGGATTGGATGCGAGCAATCACGACTCGCGGCCAGAGGCGCGTTTCAGATGCGGATAGGTTGTAGTCGCAACCATCCATCTGCGTGGCCGTGTGCGGTGCCATGTAATACGGAAAAAGAAAGAAAAAAAAACGGGCGGCTTAATATCTGCCTTGCCTCCGCCCGAGTGTGTGCCTGTGTATAGAGAGAGGCGTTGCGCCACTTCTGCCCTCGTCCTCTTTCGCCTGTACTTACGTGCTTCTGTACCAAAGAGGTATCATTCTCCCAGTGTTTTTGTTTCTTGCCAGAGCGCCCTCGTCGTTTTTTCCTTGCTTTTCTTTGCGTTGCCCCGGGATATAGTATCGAGCCTGGATTGCTTTTGCTGGTTGGGCCTTTGTCCCTCTCTGCCTCCTGTGGAAAGACTTGCTGTTTGGGGAGAGGGCTTGGTTTTGCTTTCTTCCACTGATATCTTTGCCCGGCTCCCTGATCCTGCGAGTTTTCATTGCTTTGCTGCCGACTGTTTGGTGCCATGATGGGTTTGAAACAGGCAGTGTGCATGCTGCTTGCTGTGCTTGCGTGTAAGTTTCCTGCTGGCTTTGGTTGCTGTTGATAATCTCAAGGAGAAATGCTTTTACTAACGGTTTCATGCAGTGCTGATATCCATCACGACGGCAGAGAACACTGCTTCAAACATCACTGCTGCGTCTACGTTTTACCTCGCCCGAACACAAACCCAATTCTCCGTCAACATTGCCAACGACTCTCAAGATGTCTTCATCTACTTTGCCAGCCCGGCATATTCGTGGGTTGGCGTTGGGTTTGGCCATAAGATGGCGGGTAGTCTAATGTTTATCATGTACAACAACAAGGATGGTAGCAGTACGTCTTCTCTGTCCCCTTCTTAGAGCCATACTAACATGCACTAGATGTCACCATCTCCCCGCGTATTGGCTCCGCCGCTTCAGAGCCCACCTTCAACTCCTCAATCGACTTGACTGTCCTTCCCGGCACCTGGGTCAACGACTCGATGCTCATGCTCAACGCACGCTGCTCCAACTGCCGCAGCTTTATCGACACAAAATCCTCGACTCAACCCATGATTTACGCCTTCGGTGATGGCCAGAACGTCATGTCTAATTCCCCCTCTGCGCCCCTCCAGCGACACGTCCGCTACGGCTTCTTCACCATGAACATGCTCACTGCCACGGGCCCTGGCGGCGTGCCCGCAAGCAGCAGTGCAATGAATGGCGTTGCAATCGAGGGCAGCATGGTACGTGACCACGACCGCGCGAACCTCGCACACGCTGTGTTCGGTTGTCTGGCGGTGCTCATCTTCTGGCCGATGAACGTGCTCGCAGTGACTCTGTTCAAAAACATCAAGATACACGTCGTCTTCAGCGTGCTCATTATGGTCCTTCTCATCGTGAGCTTTGCGCTCGGCGGAGTAATCAGCGGACAGTACAACCGCGTAAGTCTCTCTTCCTCGTAACCACCCACACATACTAACATTCAGTAGTCCAAAGCCTTTAATTCTCCCCACCAAATCACCGCCTTCCTCACAATCCTCCCCCTCCTCCTAACCTCGATCCTCCCGGCCCTCACCCACCTCACCACCAAAGTCCGCGCACTCCACACGCCCCTCACCTCCATCAGCTTCGTGCTCCTCGTGCTCACCGGCGGCCTGGGCCTTCGACTCTCCATGCAACCCACCTCTCTCGTCCTCGTCTACACAGGCATCTCCATTGGCGTCTTCATCGTCCTCCTGATCCTGCACACGTGCCTACGCAAGCGCGGCTCCGCATACGCCCGCGCGCAGAACCGACGGCCCCGTTCAGACACGCCCGATAGCCCGACCACCGAGGAAATGCTCATCATGGCCAAGATGCACGACTCGCAGAATACTGCTGGCCTGAACCCGCCTCCGCCGTATTATCCACAGCAGGGATACCACAGTACTGGTAGTGCCGAGTTTGGCGCAGACGGACAGCACGTCCACCCCGCGCAGCACAGTAGGAGTTCGAGTCGCACAAGGCAGTTTGGCGGTGGTGCCATGCCTGGGCCTCAGTATCTACTCAACATGCATCCTGGGGTGCCGGTGCAGGTGGGTCGTCTCTGAAAGAGAGAGTAGAGTGTATGTGTTTAGTGTCCATGACGACGATGACTCTGCGCTGGCTTTTCTCGCATTGTCCCATTTTTTTTTAGTTTTATTATATTTTTATTCTTTTTTCCTTGCTGTCGACTTGTTTTCTTCACGCAGGCGTTTGGGATGTGCCAAAGATACCATGGAGCGTTGCTGAGCGTGTTCTCTCGGTTGTATGTACTTGTGACGTTTGCTCGACGGTAATCTCAGTTGCGTTGGTGTTGAATGTGTTTTTTTTTCGCTTGGATATAGGAAGTCTGGACGGAGAAAGAAAGAGAGAGAGAAAGAGAGAATGTGTGTGTGTGGTGTGTGTGTGATGGGTACCATATGAATATACCTTGATCGAAAAAAAAGACGTATGACACTATAGTGGCAACTGTGCTTTACCAAGACGTTCTGTCATCCCGTTGATTCGGCTGCGGCTTGCTGCTTACTCTGTCGCATTTCTGCCATCCTTTTGCCCCCCTCCCCCACCATATACCCAGGTCTTCATGACATATCAAACTCTATGCCAGGCCCCTCGATTCCAATCTCGTTTATTCGTGGAAACCCGCGAAACAAAATTGCGCAATATCACCCGAAGAAACATGTACGCGTGGCAGTTGGCGCGCTCCAACGAATCCGCAAACAAGTATACGCGTATTCTCGCTTTCTGAGATGTAGGATTGGTCGTTGATTTGCTCATTGTTTGATGCGTCTTACACGGCTTGCTATTTCAAGCATCCAGCTCACCGCCAGAAATAGATTGAAGGCCAGAGAATCAAGCATCCATCTCACTGCTGTGCTGACAGAGCTTGAATCTCGTGAATTTCACGTCACCTCAACGTGCGGCAAATCTTATTCTATCCAACACATGACTACCCCAGACTATGATTCCCGCATTAAGCAGCTCCGTCCCCGCCATGGCTGAAAGCATTTAACCGCGCAAGTCGAGTAAAAAAAAAGCCTCTCATCTCACATACATTCCGACATACATGCATACTCGATAGACCAACAATGCTGATGTCATGCGATCGGACCGAGCTGCATTTCCGCATCAATGGTACTTTCCGCGCACGGCAAGGAAAACCTCGCATTGAGGCCAATTGGGCTCTGCATGTTTTGAACTACGGGATAAGCCCATCCATTTCCCCCCTCTTCTCTCTTCCCTCTTCCCTCCCCCGGGATACTCCACGTGGGCAAACTAGAAGCATTCGCATTTTTAGCACTGACAAGTGCTGATACACCGCACGGTGTTATGCTTGTTTCGGCACGTTTTTTTTTTTGCTCGAGGGAATTTTGGGCTGTTGGTGAGCGATAGGCAGGCGAACAACAAGCAGCTAGAAAGTACAAACATAGAAACACATGGTCCCCTATATTACTTTTTTTTCCTTTCTTTGGTGCGCTTTTTTTTGTCACGTTCAGAGTTTCGGCCTGGGGATTGTGGCGAGAGGGCGGGGGGGATGGAGAGGGTCGAGGAGCGGGCGCGGAGACGCCTGAGTATTAGCCGTGGGGCACTCCGGGTATGACGGCGTTTCCAACAGAGGAGCCAGCGGTGCTTCAAAGGGCATGCAAACAGTACCGTGTGTCACGTTCAGCGCGGTGCGTTGGATATATTGTGTCGTGGTGCAGAGACTGTGTGTCTGGTCGCCCGGGCTGCTTCACCCGGTGTTTCATAGCGTGCGACACTCCGACCGAGCGGCGTTCAGGGCTCGGCCACGTGACGATGACGCGGCGGTAATCCCTAAGGTTGCGCCAGCTGAGGCTGTGCCTTCTTCTTGTTCCAAACTCCCTATTGCTTCGCTTCTGCCCCCTCTTTCACCCTCTTACCATTTGATTTTATCCCCCCAAACGATCCCTCACTATGTCTCCTACCAAGCTGGGTGTCTTTGCCCACCTGGCGCTGGCCGCCAGCGCCGTGCTCATCCCCTCGACAATGACGGCCGAGGACCTGGGCGATGACCGCGCTCTGGAAACGTTTGCGATGACGCCCTCGAAGCGGTCGGTGGCGCTCGAGTGTCCAGAATGCTCTTTTGCAACTGTCGAGGGAAATGCGCTCACGTGGAAGCTTAATGCGGGCAACACGTTTGTAGGTGCATGGACATGGATATCATGGCCTCGGGTACTAACATGCAACAGCGCCTCGACTTTGATGTCGGACCGGACGAGAACACACTCAACCTGGACAACAGCCAAATCTACCCGCCTTCGATCAGCCTTGCCTTTCAACCGCACTATGTCACACAGGTCGACCCTTCGTCGGAAGAGGGCGTACGCTTGCGCATAACAGGCTTCGAGTTTGAACTGAACGGCGCAGAGACCATTTCGGAGGAGGGCACCGAGCTACTGCCCATGATGCTCAAGATTTCGTCGATTGAGAACATGCCCATGAACCCTCCTTCGCTCCAGATCAACGTGCTCAAGGACTCGCAGGGCCGTCTCATGATTGCGTCGTTCAACAAGGCCGAGCCCAGCCAGGCTGTACCGTCGGACAAGGACTGCAACGAATGGCCCCTGTACTGCAAGTGGAAGAGCATCATGGCCGATCGTCTTGAGCGTCTCAAGCACATGGGCAAGCCTAGGCCCAACTGCCACATGCGACCTCACGGCCATATGGCGTCCGAGATGGCGGGTAAGCCTCCGCACCGCATGCACCACGGCATGGGCCACCACGACATGGGTCACAGCCACGGCCGCCATGGCCAGCACCACCACCACCACCGCTTTACTATGTTTATTCGCCGCGCTTTCTTTACCATCTTCGTGCCTATTCTCATTGGTATCTTTGCCGGTACTCTTACCTACCTCGTCGGTATGGCGCTTGGATGTCTCATTGCCATGACTGTTGCCAAGTTCCGCGGCCAGCGCTACCAGCCGATTGCGCTTAGCGAGGATGACGTCGAGGACATTGAGGATCTAGAGGCACAGGAGGACGGCGAGAAAGAGGAGTATGCTGAGCTTCCGGCATACGACGCGCCTCCCGTGTACGAGGACGCTGCCGACAAGACTGCTGACGAGACCAAGTAGATGGAGTCGAAGATTGGAGCAGAGGCGTAAAGGAGGAATGCGACGCCTGGGTGTTGACGGATAGACTGTACCAGCGCTTTCGGTCTTTTGTTTGGTAGACATTTTGGATAGCTAGCACGCGAATGGATTCCTTTGTCTATGGCTACTGTGCAGTACGGTGTTGATGGGGTGTGTATGCTGGAGGCGATTGAATGTACGTGCTGTTTGTGGAAATTGGTTGAATGTGCATTGCTGGAGTATGGCGTTGATGAGTGTGCTCACATTTGGTCCGGCTCAGGCAGAAGGTTGCAGACGGTACTTGGTGTGAGAGAGACAGTATAGCATTGCGAGGACTGGATATATGTTGTACTAGTATTTTATCAGTCTGTCCATATGCTGCGACCAAGCCATGAATGCGGCGTCATATTGGGTGCTGCCATGCGGTGGACGCGTGAGGCGTGTCGAAGCAAGCCCTCGCGACAGGGTTTTGCAGAGTATACATGGCGTAGAAGACAGAGATGCATGAATCAGCACACCGTGCAGCCACAGCTGAGCGCGCTGGGCGTGTATCTACGGCGGGCAGACGTGGTGGTGTGTCGGGGAGACGCGTTCGGAGTTGGAGTTGGCGTTGGCGCACGGGCCCGGCCAAGGCGACGGCATCAACAGGCGTCGCCGCCCGCCGCGCGCGCGCGCGTCAGGGCGCAATTGCAAGTGCTGCTTTCCAGGCTTTTGATTTTGGTCGCAAATGTGAAGGGGGCAACACTCGCCTTTTTGCTTTCATGTTCCTGCCCTGCTGGCAGCCCCCCAGCCTCCCCCAACCGGGCCTAGCGCCACCGCCTGGGCTGTGTGATCTCGAGGCCGCCGCCGCGCCCGCCCCTCGTCTATTTAACCCGCCCGCCCACGCCTGGCGACGCTTTCCCTCTCTCCCCTTTCGCAACTCGCCTGGCCTGCTCCCATCCCCAAACTCTCGCAACCCCGCCCACCGCCCACGCTCGACGCGCATCTGCTCCCCCATCAGCTTCCATCCCACCCACCCTCTACCAACATGACTGGACGTAAGTAGCCCCCTGTCCCCCACTGGCCGTCGCGTGCTGCATCGCGCGTGCTGGCGCTGCCCGCTGCCCGCTCGTCATGAGGCGCGCTTGGTGTTGAGGCTCAACGCGTCGCCGCCCCACTATCGCGCCGCGCATCTTACCTGCACCCACGCCTGCACATGACAGTGCCATCGTCACACACTCGCGCTGCACCATGCTAACGTTGCTCTGCAGGCGGCAAAGGTGGCAAGGGCCTCGGCAAGGGCGGCGCCAAGCGTCACCGAAAGATTCTTCGTGACAACATCCAGGGCATCACCAAGCCCGCCATCCGTCGTCTCGCCCGTCGTGGTGGTGTCAAGCGTATCTCGGCCAGTAAGCATGTCCCGCACCATGTCGCCACTATTCAATACCTAACCTGCCGCCAGTGATCTACGAAGAGACGCGTGGTGTCCTCAAGACGTTCCTCGAGAGCGTGATCCGTGACGCCGTCACCTACACTGAGCACGCCAAGCGCAAGACCGTCACCTCCCTCGACGTCGTCTACGCCCTCAAGCGCCAGGGCCGCACCCTGTACGGTTTCGGTGGTTAAGCTTCTCGTCTTGTCGCAAGCCACTTGCATTTGCCGGCTTGGTCACATTGTTTATGGATTGGATCGGGTTACAGCTATCGGTCTCACGGCGTTATGTTTATGGGTGGTCTGGGAATGATCAATACATGAAGCTTCGATCTTCATTTGGCTAGTCAAGTCAATGCAAACACGTTCAATGCACGCCATCATTTCGCCATGTTGTCATGTTGCTCTACTCGCCGCCTGTGTCTATCCAACTCCGCACGGCTTCTTCAACCGCCTCACACGTCCCCGTCACCCCAAACAAGCCGCCCTCTATCCTGATGCTCTCCAGGCTCCACTTCTTCAACTCGTCACTGACGCTCTCAACACCGTCTTCAACAACCAGAACATCATAGCCCCTATCGCTCGCTTCTCTCACCGTACTGCTCACACACGCATCGGCCGTCACGCCACACACGACCAGATTCTTGACTCCCCTCGCCCTCAGCCCCAGATCCAACTCTGTATGCGCAAACGCCCCCCTGCCAGGCTTGTCGATGACCAGCTCCCCCTCGCGCGCCGCCAACTCGTCGACAATCCCATGTCCCTCCTCGCCCCTCACCAGCAGCCGTCCCAGCGGCCCTCGACTCCCTATCCCGGCGCCATTGACCGCGCTCCGGTGTGCCTCCCTGCTACTTAGCGTTGCCAGGTTCGCATCGTGGCCTTCGCGCGTGTGCACCACGTGGAAGCCTGCGCGGCGGAAGGTGGAGAGGAGCGAGGCGAGGCGCGGGATTAGCGCTGCAAAGCGGCTGGTCGAGTAGCCCGAGGCGGAGAGGTAGCCGCCTGGGTAGAGAAAGTCGCGCTGCATGTCGATGATGACGAGGGCCGTGGTACTGGGGCGCAAAGACGGCGTATGCGGGAAGGCGTAGGGTGTTGTAGAGGGTATTTGCGCCGTCATGCTGAGGGCTGGTGGTGTTTTGGGGAGTTTCGAGACTGGGACATTTCGCCATGTATTTACTTACACGGGTGGGACGTGCAGAGCAACGGTTACCATGTGCTTTTACTCAACTATCGGAATCGAGATCGGTTACGGGCACTGGGGAGGGGGAGTGGGGCTGCTGGTATTCTGCTTTTGGAAGTCGCAGGAATGAAGAATGCCCAAGTACTACATGTAAGACTTTCGCTCTTTTCCTCTACTTCATCGCCGCCTAGCTCAACACAACATCATCAAGTCTTGTTCCCCATGTCGTCTCACGCAATGCCAAGCAAGCGTCATCTCAACTGCAACGATTTCCCAGGCAATATTCGCTCTGAACATGCCACCGCGCCTATCTACATTACCGAAGCAGCCCCACTCTTGTAGACTGAACCCCTGGTTCAACCGCTATCCTATCTTGACCAATTGCCCCCTCACACGCCCGCTCCGCGATAAGAAGTGCAGCCCTGCCTCCCAAACGGGCAATTCACAAGCAGTACAAGCATGAATGGGGCGAGCGAACCGTTATCTTGGTATGACGCAGGGTCAGAGAGCCGTCCATGGCGCGTATCTTTGATTCAACGGCCATAGCCCATGGGCGATAGATCGACGACAGGATGCGGGGTGGAGGGATATATTGCCTTGTGGCTGAGGAGCAGACGGTGGAATTTTTCCACTCTCTGAGCTTTTCGGACATCCTCATGCTTCTTTGAGTGCTGGTATTGGTGTCATCGGGCGAAGAACAGAGCACTCAAACGACCCGCAGACATGTCAGACACGCCGGAAGAAAAGAAGGTGCTTCATACTGCCAGCAATGACGACGATGTGCTCGCGCAGCTGGGATACACCCAAGGTCAGTATTTCCCAAGTGCGTCTTTGGAACATACTGACGAGTGTAGAGTTGAAACGTAGTTTTGGACTCTTGGGTATGGTCGGCTTCTCCTTCAGTATCGTCACTTCGTGGACTGCGCTGTCAGGTGTTCTCATCATCGGCGTTGAGTCTGGAGGGCCGCCAGTCATGGTATGGGGCTGGGTCTGTGTTTGCTTGGTTACGCTCGCAGTGGCATACTCCATGGCTGAGATGTGTAGCGCGTACGAGCCCAATCTTACCACCTCCTCCCTTTTGCTGACTTTTCAAGATACCCTGTCGCTGGCGGTCAGTACAGCTGGGTGGCCGTCCTGGCTCCAACACGCTGGGCTAGGTCCATGAGCTACCTCTGTGGATGGTGAGTGAGATTCGCCCGTGACATGTACCTGCTGACCCCCCAGGTTCATGCTGATTGGCATAATATGCATGGGTGCCGTCAACAACTTTGTCGCTACAAACTTCGTCCTCGGTATCGCTCAGCTCAACTATGGCTTCACCATTGAACGATGGCATACGGTCCTCGTTGCATATCTCATCACTTGGCTCGCAGCTGGCTCCAACATCGACCTCCCGCACATGCTCAACAAATTGTCAAAGGCAATCTTCATCTGGAACCTCACGTCGTTTGTTGTGTGCTTTGTCACCATCCTGGCTACAAATGACCACAAACACTCTGCGAGCTATGTGTTTAGCGACTTCCAAAACTTTACAGGATGGAATGCGCCATACGCTACATGTCTCGGACTGCTTCAGTCTGCCTTTGGCATGTGCTGCTACGACGCGCCGTCGCACATGACGGAAGAAATCAAGGATGCGCGGAAGCAGGCACCTCGGGCAATTGTCATGTCGGTGTACATTGGCTGCTTTACCGGATTCGCCTGGCTGGTTGCGCTGTGTTTCTGCATTGGCGATCTCGAGGCCACGGGCAATACGCCGACCGGAGTGCCGGTGATTGAAATCATGTTCAACTCTACCAACAGCATTGCGGGAACTTCGACCATGGCCTCTATGATTTCCATCATTGCCATTGTCTGCGCCAACTCGCTCATGGCAGAGGGGTCTAGGGCCGTGTATGCGTTTGCACGCGACAATGGACTGCCATTCTCCGAGGTGCTGAGCAAGGTGTCGAGCAGATCTGTGCCTGTATACGCAGTCTTGCTCACTGCCATTGTGCAAATGGCGTTCAATTCGATATATTTTGGCACCACAACTGGCTTCAATACCATTATTGCCATTGCCACGCAGGGATTCTGTAAGCAGTCTAGTCGTGGGGTAGTACCGTCTTACGCATGCTGATACCCCCAGATCTATCCTATCTCATGCCTCTTCTTTCGCGCATCCTCGCCCACTTTACGGGCAAAAAGACGCGACTGGAAGGGCCTTACTCGCTCGGGCGATGGGGCATTGTGCTCAACGTGATTGGCTTCCTGTACCTTGGCTTCGTATGCGTCATATCCAATTTCCCCAGCGTCACGCCTGTGACGAGCGAAAACATGAACTACACTTCTGCGGCTACGGGAGTAGTGATGGTGATCAGCCTGGTGTTCTGGATCATGACTGGGCGGAACAAGTTCACTGGGCCCGACGATGGCAATTTGCTGGATGCGGGGCGACATGATGCGTAGGTAGAGCAGATGCAATGTAGTCGTTATAGTGCATGCAGAAAACCATGCGGCAGCATTTGGCGTCAGGCTCTGATAGGATGTCATTTTTCGAGTGGCTGATAAGCAGAGCGTGTATCTGATGTCAATATTGTGGACCCTTGAGACCACCCCCTCGACAAAAAAAAGGCAGTGGTCTGTGCTTTTGTGGTACCAGACAAGTGCAAGACAACAGAGCTAGCGGATACAGACTGGTATCTTTCCAGCAAGGATTCATCACATGGTTCACACCTACGGTTGATCTAAAAAAAACAAGCAACTGCAGGAAGGCCTTGCGGGCCAAGACAAGAGTCTTAATGGTACCCGCTTCCTCGCTTGCCCACCAGCATCAACAGAGGCACTCGATACTTAGGCCTTTTCTTCTACACACATGGCTCGGCACACAAGTACACCAACACGTTCAAATCGCGCGCGACGACGGCGTCGCCATCTGCGGCGGCACCTGGCCAACACACGCATCCATATCGGCACACAGCTGCCTCCGCGTACACTGCTTGGGTCGGCGCGGCGCGAGCTAGACAAAGAACGCACACGCAAGCTATGGATGTGCCCTTGGATCTCGGAGCCGACGTTTCGTCTCGGCAGCGGTCTCGGATTGCCATGTCCCGCAGCGAGCTTGCTGGGGCTGCCAGCCGAGCTGCGGCAAAAGGTGCTGAGCAGCGTGCTCGACGTGCGGGCGCTGGTGGAGACGACGGCAAAAAGCATGGCGGCGCCGAAGCAGCGGGATTCCTGTGCCGAGGCGGTGGGCAGCGTCGTGGCCTCGTTGTCGTGCGTGTCGCCCTTGGTGCGCTGCGATATGACGCATGTGCGAAAAGTCTGGCGGCGGCAGTTGGATGCAGTGCTGGTGGAGGCGGGGTCACGTGGGGCGGGCGGGCCAGCGCAGCGGCGGGCGGTGCAGGATGAAGATGAGGACAAGACTTTGGCGGTATCCGCAGGCGTCGGGCAGTGGAGCAAGAGCGAGGGCAGACGCAAGGGCGGCCTGGTGCTTGAGGCAAAGGAGGTGGCGCAGTGCCAGGGGCGGCGCCAGAAGTGCTGGCGGTGTGGCGAGCGGCATGGGGCTGGGGATGAGGTGTGTGCCATGGCGAGGAGGCAGCCGGAGCGGTGGATGAGGCTGACCAAGGCGGTGCCGCGGCCCAGGGAGGCAGCGTCTTGTTGGGGGCAGCGGGCTGGGGCCAAGAAGATGCGGTTTGACGACTAGGGTGGATTGCAGCCAGCCACCGCATTCGGGACTATTGCTGCCACTATTCCCACTACCCGCTGCCAGCAGAGCAGTTGTCGTTGTGCGTTGGCGCCAACACGCGTTGAGCAGGGCACGTCTTCCCGCCCCGCGTGGGGACTAGCGCCGACGCTAGCGCCCGACGCGGCCTCTTGGCGCCTGTGACAACGCCAACAAAGAAGCGAGCTGTGCATAAAGACTGCGCCGACAGGGTTGCGGTGAGGCATCCAAGTTGCGCCATGAACGAGGAAGAAGAATACAATCACCTGGCCGATCTCACCACCGAGAACGATGACCTGCGCAGCAAGCTGTATGCCCTCAGGGCCGAGCTGGCAAAGGCCGAGAATGCAGAGCGCGAGGCCAACTACGAGCTCGACAAGAGCAGGCAGGCATTGAAGGAGGAGAAGGACAATCTGCGCGCGCTGCAGGCCCAGATTGCCCGCCTCGAAAAAGAAAACGACCACGAGCGCGCTGCCACCAAGGACGCCGAGGGACGCGTCGAGGTCCTCTATACCGATCTCGACCAGTCGCGCTTCGCCCACCGCTCGGCCCTCGCCGACCGCGACGAGGCCCTCGCCGACAAGAGGGACGCAGAGCTCCAGCTCGACGACCTGAGGCAGCAATGGCAGGAGTGCGAGGACAAGATTGCCGAACTCGAGGCAGAGCTCGACGAGGCGCAAAAGGCCGCCGACCAGGTGCTCGACTTGGAACGCGACATTGCCAGGCTGCGCGAGGAAATGGCCGACCTCGACCGCTCCATCATCGTCAAGGACGAGCGCATCAGTCATCTCGAGCTGCATCTGCAGAAGGAGCGCCAGCGGAGCTACCACGCCGCCGACGCCATTGCCCGCGAAAAGGCGGCCTCGCCCGTCGACGAGGACCAGCATGTGGGCGCCGTTGCCTTTGAGTCGCTCGAGGCAGAGCTGTCCATGATCGAGGACAACGAGTCGTACTACGAAGTCGAGCCCAACGACTTCTCCCACATCACCGAAACCCTTCTTACCTGGTCGCCCATTGCCCCCGCCGCCCAACCGCCCTCGACCCTACACACACTACAAGCCGTCAGCGTCTCGCCCGTTGCCCCTCATGTTCCCCGACTCACACTGGATGTGCGCGAAGCTGCCCATCTGGAGCCCCGCGAGCCTGCCCCGGTTGCTCTCTCCACGAGCCTCAATGAGGGTGCCAGCACAGCGCCCGTTGCCGTCGTGGTACCTACACATACCCTCACTATGCGCGAGACGGCAAGCACTGAGCCCATTGAGCCCAGCCGCTCCCTGTCGAGCATTCACCAACACCAGGCTGCCAGCACAGCGCCAATTGAACCCGCTCGCACTCCTCGGTCCAGCATCCATGCGCACGAGGCTGCCAGCACAGCGCCCAAAGCCCCCTCGCCCACACTCCAGACGACCTTTGAGGTTGAGATTGCCGACATTGCACCAAGAGAACCGGGTCTTCCTGCGTTGACAGTGAGCGTAAGAGAAGCAGCCAGCACGACTCCCATTGTTCGCCGTATCTCGACTACAGATCTATCTACGCAGACCGACTTCGCCTCGCTCACCAGCCAGCTCATCGACCACGCTACTGTCAGCATAGCTCCGACTACCCCCATTGAGGTTGCGACCGCCGAATTCTCCACCCAGACCGAAGCCCCTGTGCTTGCAAGTCAGCTAGTCACGTACGCGACTGTCAGCACAACCCCGGTTGCACCCACCGAAACCATCACCACGGAGCACTCTGTGCAGACGGATGCCAATTCGGTCCCATCCGAAATTTCCGCCACATGCGGAATTGCCATTACTCCGATTGAGCCCAAACACGGCTTCCGCAGAGTGACGACCAAGGGCACCCAAACGGTGCCCGAGAGCCCAACGAGCATCCGAGTCGGGTCCGTCCTAGTGACGCACCAAATGGAGCCCGTGGAGCAGGTCCTTCCGAAGGCGGAGCCCAAGCGCCCGACGGCCAGCACAGGAGTCCAAACCATTGTCGAGACACCCGTTGTCAAAGAAGAAGCAAAGCCAAAGCCAGCCCCTCAGCCCGCGCCCGTCCCGCGGGCCTCGAAGAGCAAGTCGGGCATCACAGACCTGATGGTCCGGCTAAGTGCGGTGCTCATGGCCTTTACGTGCTTCCACCTCTACACGCAGCTGCAGGCGTGGAAGAAGGCCAATGGCATTGGCATGGGCGGCGGATACGGCAACATGGCGAGCCGCAGTGGAGCATACGGCAACGGACGTTATCTCTTCGGCATCTTCCCCATGGGCATGAATGTCGGCGACTCGTGGCTGACGGAGCAGATTGCCCGCCACGCGTCTTCTGCCGTGGCGCGGTTTGAAGACTGGGCCGGCATTGCCTATGAACCTCTTTACTGAGCATGCATGCACTATATGTATGCATTTGCATGTGCACACGATTATTCCACAGGACCCCACGGACCGACTCTCTCACTCACACACACACACTTTTAATTACTTTGGAAATTGGTTCGGTTTGCACCCACCACCAGCACCATTACTTACCCCTTTCTTCTGGCCTCTTATTTTTTTTATGTCTCTTCTCCTCACACGCATACACATTTACACTTTTTTTTTTCTTCTAACGACGGCACGAACAAGCATTTGCGGGGGGAGCTGGGATGCCCCAAGAAGAGAAAAAGAATTAGTTGAATCTTTCAGCCCCGCTACCTTTATTAACGCCCCTGTTTTTGATGAGACACGAATAGCGTCTTTGTTTTTGTTTTTTTTTCTCATCTCGTTACTGTTCGTTATAGACTGGCGTTTCCCAAACCCCCTTTTTTTCTTTTTCTGGTCAAAGCAAGCAAGCACGCACTTGCAACAAACAAGACGAAACACGAGATAAAAGACATATTATATACCCCCCTCCCCCCTTTCCGCCCCCCCCCCCTTTTTTTTTTCTCACACTCTAAAAGACGATAGCGTAGAATACACGGATACCCTTTCTTCTTGTTCTTCCTCTTCTTCCCTGGGGTTTTTTCTACTCTAGTGTGGATTTTATAGCTGGTGTTTTGGGGTTGGGTTAGATGGGGGTTAGGGGAGGAAGTTTCACTTTTGTAGCTTTTGATGGTGAGGAGGAGGAGGAGGATGGAAATTGCATGATATGGTGAGATGAGATGAGAAGGGATGATCGAGTATGAGGATGAATGAGAATGAAAATCAAAGCCATGGTAGAGAATAATAGATGATTTCGTACAAGCAAGCAAGTACCGGGGTATAGTAACCAAGTAGTAGTAGTAGTAGTAGTAGTAGTAGTAGTAGTAGTAGTAGTAGTAGTAGTGCAGTAGTTCTGGATGCAAGACCAGGCATATATTGGTTAGAGTGTGTAGACGAGTAGAAGAGTAATATCAAGTATAGCTAAAAAGAAAAATAACAAGTATCAAGAGAGTACAGTACGTAGAAGAATACTATGTAGATGATACTACCTCACCCTGTCAACCTACGTGGTTAGTCCATGTACAATAGATTTGACGCAAACATGAGCAAGTACGTGTATTGTAGTACATGTACAAGAATCCCATGCATGAAGCAGTGTTAGTTTTGCTCATGTTTGTCCATTTGCTTGCAAGCAATTGAGCAAGGTAGATTAAGATTGATTTTGGGCTCTATGCAAGTACAAAGCCCAAATAGCCAAGAAAACAATCAAGGGCCAACTGGAAAAAAAAAGTAAATGCATGCGGACAAGACAATTACGGGGTGGAGGGCATTGTGATTTTTTTTGATTGTTTCAGGCGGCAAAAGTGGTGATGGGGTTGGTTTGGGCTCTGACGTGTGTTGGTTGGTTGGTTGGTTGGCGGTAAAAAGGGTTTGGGCAGTCAAGAGGCATGAATGCAGAGAGAGAAAGAGAGGGGGGGGGAAGCTTGGCGTGCGGGTTTGATGCGAGAGCTTGTGATGGAGATGGCCATAGAAAGAGTATCTATGCATGTGTGAGCAAAGTAAATAAAAAAACAGGCGTGTGTTAACCCCGAAAAGGCATCTGGTTATGTGTGTTGTCCAAGTATGGTGGGTGTCAGGAGTTTCAAGGGCAGAGTGGAATACGTCAGCTTGTCAGCATGTCACCGATGATCCTTCCGTCTTCAACGTCATTGTACGGCTGGGGCGGCGTTGACAAGACCAAGACGGAGGCTAGAATCTAGCGAGAGGATGAGCGCGTCTTGGGCTGCAAGTGCTAGTACATAGCAAGCGGGCAGGCGGTGTTGTGGTTCCTTTTTGGAGGAGCGGCAAGTGTAAGCATGATGGATGCAGGTACGCAAGCATGCAAGCACAAGCATGCAGTGGTATGGCAGAGTGTGGGTAGAGTGCAGACAGAGTGCAGACAGAGTGCAGGCGCAGAGCATCGTGGTTGGGGCACGGTGGCTATCAAGGCGATGGAGAGAGAGATATCTAGGTGGCCCTGGACCCCGCACATGTTGGTTGGCAGCGTGGGGCGGGAGCAGTCGGGCCGTGTGCAGAGTGGTCGTGGAACATGGCATGGCATCAGTGCCCAAGTGCACGTCGACGGGACAGGCGAGGCGGAAGGAGCCAGAGCCGGCGAGCGTGTTTGGCGACAACGACAACGAAGCCATGGGCGTGGTAGCCATGGGGTGGGCCGAGATGCATGGCGGGATGCAGGCGAGCGTGGGCGCATCAAGGCATCGCGGTACGTGTACGTGTAGGCGGTCGTGGTCGCGTGCTTGTGTCGGGGGAGACACGTCCTGGTGAAGGGAGGGGGCCGCATCGTGCTGGAGAAGGCGGGCGTGCGGGCGGGTCAAATGGAAATTGGACAGCAGCGAAAAACCCTGGAGAGGTTCATGACGGCAGGATATACGGGCAGATGACGGGGCTGGGGGGTGGGTGACGTGGGTTTGGGGGTTTTGGGCAGCAGGGCAGGAGCGCGTCATGGGCAGAGGCAGCGGCGAGGGATGCGCACCATGTCACGTGGCGGGCTAGGCCGAGGGCGGGACATCACGTGCAGGGGAGGGCTGAAGGAATGCCGCGGCAATGTCAATGTGGCCGCAGCAGGCAGGGCGGGCGGTGGATGCGGTGGATGCGGTGGATGCAGTGGGGGTCGACTAATGGGAACTGGCCACGACCAAGGCAGCAGAAGCAATGCAGCGCTCGCTCGCGGTACCGGGCACCGCTTCCTATAGGCAGCAGCCCGTTGGGCCTGGACCGGTCAGAGGCCAGCTGTGGGCGCCCATGCGACGCTGGGCTGGAGTGCCTGTGTCGTGTGGTGGTGGTGGCGGCCTTGAGCTGAGAGGGGTGAGTAACAGGTGAGCGAGCGGCAGGCAGGCAGGCAGGCAGGCAGGCAGGCAGAGAGAGAGCGCGGGCGGGCGCATGTGAGAGGCACGGGGCGGCGGCGACAGGGGCGGGGGGGGGAGTCGGTGAAGCCTGTCTGACGTGAACGCGTCAGGTCGGGACGGATGGACGGTTGGACGGGCAGAGGTCGGCTTGTCCGTAGCAGGGCCATGGTTGTCTTCTGCTGCTGCTCCTGCTGCTAGCAAGTGCCCATCCAGGTGTTTTACAAGCCCGCCGCCGGCTGGCCCCGAGCCACCCAAAAAAAACCCTCCCCCCCCCCCCGCGCCCGTTGCCACCGCTCCCACGCCGCCGCCGCCCAGCGCACACACGCACACACACACACACACACCTGCACACACACCTGCACACACGCACACGCACACTCACAGACTCGCGCGGTCTCTCTGTCTCTGTCTCTCCTTCTCCCTACCCTGGCGTGCCTCTGATGGCTCTGCGGCGAGGCTCCATGTGGGCGTGGTTGGGCGCGCGCGCGTTTGCACCACCACACGTGTGGGCTAGGTCGGGCCCGTCGAGTTGATGCCCAAGCGGCGCCATCCCAAGGCGCGTCCCCACACCCTCGCATTGTTGCGCTTGCTACCCAAGACTCGCGCCAGCACGCAGAGCTGGCCTTTTTTTTCGCCCTGCCAGCTCTCGAATAATTACATCGGCTGCCGTCGGGGCGCCCATTCTTTTAGTCTCTTTCTTCTCTTTCTGCCCGCCTGCTGCTGCCTGCCTCTGCTGCCGCTGCCTCTGCTGCTGCCGTCGCTGCACACACTCACCCCCTCTACCACACATACACCACACCACACCACACACACACACACACACACACACACCACCACCCCCGTCACCTCCCTCTCCCCTCCCTCTGCCCTTCCGCGGCGGCTGCCCGAAGAGCCTGTTTCCCCCCAACCGATTGACGTGCATATCTGTGCCAGCCGCTGCTGAGCCTGCCGTCCTCGGCCAATCACCCCGCACCCACTGCGCCAAAACCTCATCTGCGGCTCTGCCTGCTCACACCCTCCCTCGAGCACTCAACAAAGTACTCGCCCCTGTCGCGCCGCCGTCTCTCTGCCCACCCAGAGCTGCCTGCCTCTCGCGCATAGTCTCTTGTATAGGTATACACACACACACACACACACATACACGCACACGCACACAGTGCTGTCGTGACCAGCCCGCCCGACACGGACAGAATCAAGACATAGCCACCTCGCCCCCCCCCCATCCTCCAACCCTCCCAGGAACTTGTATCCATCCCATCAGCCAGCGCCCTCGGTGTGCTAGAATCCATCGCCGGCAGCCACGCCGTCAAAAGGTCCACTTCCGTCACAGGCCACTCGCATTCCCACGCGCCGGTATATTGGTCCCAGCCCCGCTCCTGCGTGCTGCTGCATCTATTCCACCTCTTCTGGACAACCCCTTGGATTCCCATAGCTCCCTTCCGGACTCTGCCTCTCCCTCTCCCACCACCCTGCGACGTCATCCCCGACGTGCCTCGTTTCCCGCTGCAACCCTCCGGAGCTCCTTCTTGGTCCCTACAGAGAGCCCCTCTTGATCTGTCCTAGCTTCCACAGCTCTTGGCTCCTTTGCTGGCACTGACAAACTGCGTCATCTTTCTTTTCGTCACCTTTCCACAGACACCCACCCACACCCACATACACAGACTCTCGCCGCAACCATGTCGCGCGCAAATCAGTGGTTTGTGCCTGGCGAAGGCATCGCCAGAGAAGTAATCACGGCCGACATCCAGCGCTACCTGGGCCCAGACGCCCTCGTCAGGCCAGGCACAGGCACCGGAGAATACCAGGTCCGCTCTTTTTTTCCGATGCCCATGCGCGCGAGCACTACTGACATGCTACACAGGGCCAGCCAGGCTACTGGATAACAGCTTACCGCACTCTCACATCGGTATGTTTGAGCCACGCGCGATTCACATACACACACACACACACTTGCTTGAACTCCCGACACTGACTGATTCGCTTGCAGCAAATGATTCAGGACTTGAAAATGGATTCACAACGTTGGCAACAGGAGAGACAGCCAGGAGAAACGGGCCGCGGAGGTAGCCACAGTCCACAAGTGCGCACTACAAAGGTATCAGCCGGCCCTAACGCTTCATTAGTAGCTTATCAAGACTCTCGCACACATGCTGCCCGCCAGCATTGGGGTCCCACAAAACCCTATGACCACGGCTCGTCGCATGCCTCGGCTGATCCCTACGACCAGCCCCGCGCCTCGACATCATCAAGGACCCCGGCCTACGGCTCTGCCAGCTACTCCGGTAGTGACCCTCACTACACCACAACGCCCACATCCACCTACGGAAGCTCACACCCAGGCTACCAGCCTTCGCCCGCAGCTGCCGCCCCCAGGACTTCGCCCGCGGACCCCTACTCGGCCTACCCGCAGCCCGGAGGAGGACGGGACTACCCTGCCCAATCGCCCTATGCCTCATATCCTGCCCCAACGCCCGACCCCTACGGACGACAGGCGCCATCCCAGTCCGCTCCATACACTGCCTCAAGGTATTTTGGTTACTATGACGAGCCCTTTGTGGTCTATCGCTAAGCCCCCCCCTGTAGTGCCACAGTAGCCGCGCCAGGCTACTACATTGCCTCGGATGGTCGGCGTAAGTACCTTTCAACCCTGGCCTCCACCAAACTAACGAGCCCCCTTCAGAATACCCCTTGTCGCAACAACCTCAGCCGTCGCGCAACCCACAGTCTGGAACCTCTAGGTACAGTACAAGATAGAGAGAGAGAAAAGAGAAAGAGAGAGAGAGAGAAGGCTCCTCCCTCTCTCTCTCTCTTTCTCGCTCTGTTTCGGCCTTGTTGTTGTTCCCACGTCCATCTGTCGAGCCCCGGAGATACCCTTTTTTTCCAAGCTGCTGGATGGTGCTCTGGAGTCTGGCCACTCACACTCCCCCTCTAATATTTTAATGGTCCATGTTCCATCTTTCTGGGATCCACAAGGAGTTCAATCCACTTCCACACAAAAAAAAAGCACCCGGATAAGAGACACCCTTTTTCCTCGGATCTGAAGCCAAGGGCCATTCATCTTTCAGCCTGTTGGAATCAAGCCCCATGGAGCCTTTTGTCCATTCCGGTTCTTTCATTTGCGTTTGATGTTCATGTGTACGTTATCTAGGAAATTGGGCTTCACTTCTCTCTCCTACCTCAATCTACAGGATTCTGATTTTGCGGGGCGCGCAACCACTTATTGCCATGGGATTCCATCTTTCCATCTGGATATTCATTGCAATGATGGCCCGTCGCTATCCTCGCTCTTGAATCTAATTTCCGGATGTTGCTTTTATTGCAATGTATATACCTGCGACCTGGACGTTGCAATGTCGATGTTAACGAATGAACGTTTATTTGCGCTTGCACAGTCAGCGTGGCAAACAAGAATGCCAAATCCATATTACATTACCAAATCGCCCTTTTCTTTTGTTTCATTCTGTCCATGCTTGACTGATGTAGTCTACTTCTCCCACGCACTGCGCTACAATGACTCGCATTCATAATGGAATAAATCTCGGTTTTTATCCCCCGCCCGCTGATCGGCACAGTCAACTGCCATCGTCGGTTTGAGCCGTCTTCGGCTCGCCACTCCATTTTTGCACGTTGATGTTTGTCAAGATATCACTTATCGTGGGATTTGATTATATACGCTAACAGCCACAGTGACTATACGGTGCGTGCCTGCAGCAAGCTGCTTTAGCGAGCCACGGCTTGACAACGCATGGCGTTTGCGCGTGGCGTGATAATGCGCCATCACAGGTAAGGCGGTGACAGCTATGGTTTGGTTCAATATTGACTATCTCGACAGTTGTAGCGGGTCGGCCCTCTAGTGACTAAAAGTGCACCTGCACGTGTGCGAGAATGCGATAGCGGGCACACGGCATACACCTGCACCTGCGCCTGCAAACGGCTGCACAGCAGGGCAGGTTGTCCGGCGCCTGTGGTTGGTTATCATGCTTAGTCACGATATGCCGCTTCGGCCGTTGATTTCACGTTCCTCTTTTGTCCCAAAGCCCACATTTTGCACGCTAGCAATACAAATTATCCGTCCCGGGGCCTCTACTAATGCCCTGATTGACACCAAACCCGATATCACCGTTATCTCGCGATAACGCATACCGAAGCACCTCGGCTCCGCACCACGCTTCCAAGATGGGGGTTGTATTGGGCGCTTGGCCATCGTGACCTGCAGGAACACAAGTACTGGCCGTCTGCTGTGCGGTCAGGAAGCCTGCCGATCCTTTTGCTCGTCGCAACACCGCTTAATATGGTTTCCTTTTCGAAGCTCTCGCTGGCTTCGGCACTCCTAGCCCAACATGTCTTTGCACATCGCAGCTTGGTCGCGTGCAATGACACGGAAAGCTTTGCGACCAACATGCTACAAGAGTCCATGGACTGGATGGACTTGTATTACGACAATGAAAGAGGATATTTGTTCAACTTGGACGCTGTTACGCTGACGCATGATACGCGATCGAGCGCGTGGTATGCAGCGGGTTTACTGGCGCGCAACAAGAACGACGACGTGGACCAGGCGATTAAGATTGTCAACAACATCATCGGCGGGCAGTTCAAGAACGAGAGTCAGCAGTGGTACGGCGATTACCAAATCTACCCAGAGGAACCCACGGTCGGCACTGCAGAATACCCGGCCAACATGTACAACTCGTGGGACCCCAACTGGCGAGGCTTCATCGGCACAACCTTTGTCGTCATGCTCGAGGAATTCGCCCATCTCCTCCCCAACGAAACAACAAACTACATTCTCGAGAGTCTGTACAACACCACCATTGGCGATAGTTATCGCGTCGGCGGCGTCGATGGTGACAACTTGTATCCCGCGTACAGCAATCCTTCCATTATGCGCGCCTTTGTATCTGGCTACATTGGCCGGCGCCTCAACGACGCAAACATGACCCAAGCAGGCGAGATGTACGCCAAACAAATTATTGACCTGTTTGTCCGCGACAACACGCTGTCGGAATTCAACTCGGGCACCTACGCCGGAGTCTCGTTGTACGCACTAACGCTGTGGGCAAAGTACCTCAAGCCCGAAGAGAGCATCATGGGCGAGTACGGTCCCAAGATGATTCGCGACACATGGAGCGTGCTGGGCCAGTTGTACAATGCAAACATGAAGAACGTAGCGGGGCCCTGGGACCGCGCGTACGGCTTCGACATGAACCGGTATCTGAGCATTCTGGCGCTGCAGCTGTGGACCTTGGTAGGCAAGGAAAAGGCGCCAATCAACAAGAAGGTGTGTGTTATCTTCCTACACATACACATTCCTTGAAGCTAACACAAAAACAGCCCTGGGCAATGGGCCACAAAGACGACTTTGCTATTTCCCCACTCATCTCCATTCTCGCACCCTACCACAACACGCTTGTCCCCAACACAACCCTCTCGTCGCTCCTCACCTTTCCCGGCACCCACACCGTCTCCACCTCGGCCTTCTCACCCCCCTACGACACATACCCGCGCAACATCTCGGCCTGGCTTTCGCCCCACCTGACCATTGGCGCAACCTCGTTTTCCGAATCCGTCATCGGCGGCCCCAGCATCAATCCCAATTCCTTCAACCCGGCGGTCGTCCAGTGGACCCGTGGCGACGCTGCGAACAAAGACGTGGGCTGGATCACGCTGTATGCGCAGACAAGAGCTGTACAGGCTGTCGTGGGCAACGCCAGTTTGCAACTTACGTACCCGCTCGGAAACGACTCGAGCGCCTTTTCCTTCTTGGTTGCGCCCAATGGCTGGTACGGGAAGCGCGATGTGAGTTCCTGGGCTGATGTGCAGGGCATCAAGGTAACGGCGAGTGGGACGGTGGATTTGGACTATCGAGTCCAGTTTGCCGGGCAGGTTGGAGGCACTGGCAAGCCCATCAACGACTTTGAATTCTGGAACTTTACATACGTTATGCCTGCCGGCAGCACGCAATTGCCTACTATCAAGCTTGAGTTTGAGCTCGAGTAGATGTCTATTGCGTGCGTGGAAGAAGTGTAAATACACAACGAGTGAGAGAGAGAGAGTAAAATAATGCCATGTTTCGTCCTACCCGTTTGTCTGTTGCAGAAATGATATTTACTATAATATATATATATATACGGAGGTGCCTCACAAAAGTTTTGTCCCACGCTAATCTCGGCGCTTCGGCATAACTCTTCTTGGCGCAACTCCCACCTTTGAGCTGAGTAGCTGTACGATTTGTCTGTATCTATCGTTACAATGTCTCCTAATACTGATCCTTACACCC